AGCATTGAGCTCTCCGGTCATCAATTCTAAGATAGTATGGGACTGTCTATAGAAACTCAATGAGCTGGGAAAAGAAATCAAAGTAGCCCTCCTCTGGGTGCCTGGGCACATGGGTCTCAAGGGCAACGAATGTCCAGACAGATTCGCAAGAACGGGAGCGTCTACTTTCCTTCACTAGACCAGAACCATTTTACGGCGTCAGAATTGTGCACCTCCCAGAAATCCTCAATTAGGAAGAGAACCGGCTGAGGAACAAACAATGGCTAGAACAGCCAGGACTACGACAGGCCAAAGATCTATTGGGCAACTTCAACTAAAAAAGATCAGAACTGGTGGTCAACCTTAGCAAGAAAAGTTTCAAGAATCTAACTGGGTTTCTCTCGGGACATTGCAGACTTGAGAAACACCTACAGAAAGTGTGGTTAGAAGAAGGTGACTCCTGCAGGTTCTATGAAGATGGAGAAGAGACACCTCACCATCTTCTACTGAACTGCGATGCCGTTAGTCACTCAAGGATCAAAAACCTGGAAAGACCCTTTATACAGTTGGAAGACATTCCAGCCCTGGAACTGCTAGATATCCTAAAATTCTAAAGTAACTAGGACTAGAGGGGTTGCTTCGAACAGGAAACCCGAACTTAGCAGTAGAAGGAGGGTACAATACACCTCCAACACATACATACATTATGTACATGGGCGTTCTTATTGATACTGGCCATATTTGAGAAGAAACTCAATTCTATAGTCTTATTCTTCAAGCTTGAAGTGCCAGTGAGCTAAATAACGAAAAGCTTGTTCTGGAAAATTCAGATTTGGTTTCCTGTTGTCCAGATTCAGAAGTTGTATTTGAGTTTGGGTTAGTATGGGATTCGTTGGCATATGCTCCATTAAAAGAATCGTGCGAATGGTAGGCTCTTTGGTTGGGAGTTGCTGAATAGTTAATTGTATTTCGTTGACCAGTCAGAAACAACTACTCCTAGGGCAAATACCCCTACTGGCGTTGAACTACACTGATTGGTCTGAGCTTTTCTTGGCAATGAAAATTGTAAGGATTTTTTTTCAGGCAATGACCAACGTGCAATCAGGGACGAAGTTCAATTTTGCTTGGACGACTTCTTACGTCAAACTGATATCCAATCCTTCCAGCTGTCCAACTACCCTCAATTCTATGGTCACTTCTTAACAGACTCCAAATCTCAAGCTAAAATCGAATATTACCTTCTCCAGAATTTTATCCAACTTAAGATTATCTTCAAAATACACAGTTACCTTTTATTTCAACAAAATTGCCTAAAAGATTGATCAGAAGCTGTTGTGTACAATCTGTAATCTGAACAAGTTTGAAACAATTGCTCACATCTTATTAGAATGTCCAATAATACAAAAGTCTTAGAACACCGGCCATAACTGAACTATTTGCAACCACTGAAAATCTTATTAATTTCTTAAATAAGCCAATTGACCTTAAATCCACAAAACTTGTGTGTTATCTTTTAATGAACATTTTGAAATTAAGAGCTTTCATTATGAATGAATAAATTTGGGTGATCTTATTCTAACTTTTTCTCCTTTTTCTTTCTTTAACCAGAAAACCAGTGAAACGAACGCTATTAGTTTAAATAATAAGGTTCAAATGAAATGTCAATTTATAAACATTTGTACTCTAGATAGCAAATTAAGTTTTAAAACCTGTCTTCTTGTTATATGAAATATCAATATAATTTCATTATAAACAATAAAGGAATAATAATAATAATGTTTAATGCTCATTGAGATTTTTGATTCGGATAATGTAATTCCTGGAAACATGATTTTTGCATTGATTACCAGTTCGTCTACTAGCAAAGCATGGATGATTGTGGTGCGCCACTATTGTTCGAAACTTTCCGAGGAAGAGTAGTTGTCTTCTTAAAATTGGACAGTTGTGATGGAGAGCATGGGCATTTAGCTCTGTTAATCTGATCAAGACGAGGTTCTAGACCAGTTAAAAGATGGTTTACAGGGTCGAAAGTTCACAGCCATAGATTCTTAAATAAAAGGACTAGGCTTCTCCTTGATCTTAAGATTTGAGTTATGAAGATTTTTGTACGCAAGCGAGCATTTTTATAAACTTGGTGTCTGTTGTATGGAGGGACTTTTTGGGTATTTGTTTGTGTCGCTGGAAATCATGAATGACTATTGAGAGCATACCTATAATCTGTAAATTCAAAAGTTGTGTGATTTCCAATAAATACCTGAGAGTTTGGGTTAGTTTAATTCCTTCATGATATAGAATAATGGTAAACTTGTTCACGAGAAATTAAAAAAAAATGCCATGAAAATATTGTGGACGTCTTAACAGTATTAATAGCAATTATAAAATTAGAATATTAGAATAGTAAAATAACAAGATAATTCTTTAAGGGATCCACTGCTACCAGTTACGCCTATTTGTTCTGACATCTTTGACTGATCCTACCGACTGCGCCAAATTTTTATCTTGTAGGTAACCTTTGAAAATATCTTAAAAAAAAACACACTTTTATCTAAACTGAAAACGATATTTTATTTTAAAATTAAAATGTACAAAATAATGCTAATTTAATGCCTCGTAAACTAAACAATTCTTGGGTTTTCATACACATGTAATATAATGCTGACATTGCTGATTCCTATGTTTGATACAGCGGTTCCAAGAATTGCAGAACGGTATTGTTTGTATTTCGTGTGCAAAATCAGTGTTTTATGGGTGAAAGCCTAAGCGTATGCCAAAAAGACACGCTCACGTGCCATAAATATTTACAGGTTTTACAAACAAAAATAAGCACATGCGAAAAGTCAAAACATTAACTTTGGCGTTAAAAAATTGCACACAGAAAAAAAAAATAATTTAATTATTAAAGCTTCGATAAGCTCAAACCGGAATATCTCCAAGAGGTAAACCGGGCCGTTGCCACGGAAAATCTTAATTAAAACCTTTAAAAGTAGACATTTTAAGCCGTTTTTATATCACTCGGGCTTAATCTTTCAGGGCCTTCGTACAATTTTACATGCCGCAACGAAATTTCACGATACAAATCTCCTAATTTAATTATTAAATGCAATTAAAAGCGGTATGATCGAAACGGTTATAGCAATTTTAATATAACTTCACGGATTACGGGATTTGCCTCTTATGGGCGCTGAAAGTAATGGAAATTGAAGTGGGGACAATTGTTTTGTAGGCCTGAAAAGGACAATTATTACGAACCGTTAATGCAAGTTTAAGTTTGTTTCAATCGGCCGACTTTATCGAGCTTATTACAAACAAATCATTACGCTGTTGAATGCAGAGTTTATCAATTTTAAACTTTATGTTGAGTCAACTTAACTTTTTATTTTATAATTTACTAGCTAATGACCCGCTGCGTTGCCAGCATGTAAATACATTTTGAAATAATACACTTCTTTTCAAATTTTGTTGTTGATTTTCTATTTAATTTTTTTTTTTAAATCCGATATCATAGTCGCTTGCCAGCCTAAATAAATGAAATATGGCAACGTTGTTTCATGCTGTCAAAAAAAGTTGGGTTATGTTGTTATGTAATGTGAATGAGTTTGTTTACAATTAAAATTATAATTAATTCAAAATTAATTTCTTTTTCCGAGATGCGTAACCTATCCACAAACCTTCCTTGGGATGGCCATAACAACCTACCAAAGTTTCATCGTAATCGGATAAGTGGTTTTGGAGCGCATATCCGGATACCCCGTGAACTTTGATTTTTATATACAGTGTCATTACTTAAGTGTGCAACATATGGGATTTTTTTTTAGTAATAGCACAATCAAAATACAAACAAGGCCAAAAGTTGGTGCATGTCTGATAATCGTATTAGGTGCACTTAGAATGTTTGCAAGTCAAACAGCATACAGGGTGGCTCAAAAAATATCAAAATTCTACTAATATTTACTTAAATAAAATAAAACTTTTGCACTTTAAGGAGAGTTTTTTTAATATGGCTATTATCATTAGTAATGTTTTAACTTGTTAAGAAAAAAAATTGCGACATTTTAAAGTTGTGTTGAATATCATTGCAACAAACATGAATTTTGTGATTCCATAAAAAATTAAAAATCTAAGTTAATTTTACAAATATGCTTGAATTTGAACAAAATTATGTAAAATTGATTTGATTTTAATTAATTTTTAAAAGTCTCAAGAGCGGAAATAAAAAATAAAAAAAATATAGAAATTATAGATTTTTTTCGAAAGAAAATAAGAAAAATCTTAGGAGGCTATGTTTTGGTATTTAGGCATAACTTTTAATTCCAAACAACTTTTCTCTATAACATTTTGCTGAATTTTCTAAAATAAGGGTACTTTACAGTACCAGCTTTGATATTATTTGAGCTACCCTGTATGCTGTTTGACTTGCAACCATTCTAAGTGCACCTAATATGATTATCAGACATGCACCAACTTTTGGCCTTGTTTGTATTTGGGTTGTGCTATTACAAAAAAAAATCCCCATATGTTGCACACTTAAAAAATCACACTGTATATAGATTAAGAATTTGAAAACTTATAGTATAATGGTAATGCTGTTAGCTGATTTTCATAAATACTTCCTGTATTTTTATCTCAATTAGCTTTAAATATAGATACTTCTATGCAATTTCCAATTCAGGAATAGCACTCCAGGTGAATTGCTATAATTAGCTCGCTAATCTTCTGAATTAGTGTCACTTCATAGGCAAAGCTCTTCTAAAGTGTCACAATAGTCACTAGCAATCAAATTGCTCAAGTTATTATTAACCCAAAGTATTTCCATTTCTATATTTTCAACAAAATGTTTGGCATACCTAATAGCTTATTTGATGGACATTATTTTTCCTGATGGACATGATTTTTTTAATCCACGTTAATATCTATTATGTTTATTGATTGTTATCATAAATGTTTTGTTTGTATCACTATCACTAATATGTCTTTTTCTTTTTTCGATTCTATGAATTAACCTTATTTTTTTTTTATTCTAGGGTTAATCTGTGGAGAGGGAAGCTGTTGCAGTGACACATTAGAAGATAAAACATTATTGTTATATAGTCAATCCTATGTAGAAAAATACATGAAAGACGCGGTATTGAAGGTTTCAACTTTGGTGGAGACGCGAGCAAGAAAATTTGATGGTAAGTTCTAGTGAGTAGGAACGACAAAATAAATCAACATAGTGTGTCCCAACTAAGTAAAATGATATATTTTTTTTTTTTTTCGAAATCGATTTTGAAAAGGGAGTTTCATGTGGATTGTCTTTACCACATAAAAAAATTCATACGAGTTGTATAGTCATCATGAGGACAAGTGACTTTGTAAATTGACCTATTTTTCTCAATAATATAATCTAACAAATGCTATTCCGGCCACAATCCACACCAAGGATTAAGGAAGTTGTCCAGGATAAATCTTTCACAACAGTCTCCATTATCAGCTATTCCAAAATAAACATTGGAAGTACATCGTACATTCGCATAACCAGTGTAGTCAAGACTTTCTGAACAGCTACAAAAACCATAGAGGTCATCAACATATACATTTTCCTAGACGGTTGCGGAACGACCAAACATCTCTTCTAGACATGCTTATTGTTATTGAGATAAATTAATTTTGGATGTTCAAGAACATGCTCCCCTTGGAAAAAGTGACCACTTTGTAATAACTGCCAAAACACAGCTTTAGAAAATCTACAAAAGGAACTTTTGGAAGATAGATTACACTGAAATAAACCAAACCCTTCAGCAACAACTTGCACAGGCTACTAACCCACATTCATTTGAAGAATTCTCTGAGGCTTTGTCATACATATCACAAAAAGTTAATGCCCAAAACCCATGGTTAACCAAGGCAGTATTTAGGGAAATACAGAGGAAAAGAGACTTGTGGTGGCACAACAATACTGAAGAAAATTACCAACAGTACCAGCATCAAAATAATATAAGGTCAAAAGTTGTACAGTCAGAGCAAGAAAACAATATGAACAGAATCTGTTGAACAACACCAAACAGTGCTTTTCCTGTGTTAACTCTAACCTTAAATCTAAACATATTCACTTTAGTATTGTAGAAAAAGCAACTCTAGCCCATTTCAATCTGATTAGAAGGTGAGTGTTTTGTACAGCAATGTCAACAATCCCCAATCCCAATTCCAGAGTTCTTTTAGTAAACTCAGCCCTACAGATATTAGACCAACACTTCCAATTGAATCCTTCTCCAGAACAGAAATCAACACCATAAATTTCACCCTAGAAAAGGTAGAGTTCGCCATTAGGTCCCTTAAGGTGAACTTCAGCCCTAGACTTAATGAGATCACTGCTCTTTTCTTAAAAATTGTTTGCACACTCTAATGGGGCCTCTGGCAGCACTTATGAATGATATAATATCCATAGGAGATTTTCCACAACCTTGGAAAAAAGCAGTTGTTATAATATAAGCCTATATTCAAAAAGGGTAGCAAAAAACTAGTACCTACAAAACTACAAACCAGTCAGCCTGACCAGCGCTCTATGTAAATGTATGGAAAAAATCATTGCAAAAGAAATCACAAGCTTTTTCCCCGAAGCTCATATTGCACCACCCTAACAACATGGTTTTCTCAAACACATAAACAGTTTTTCCCTTCCATCAATAAAAAAAGATCTTGAAAATATTATTTCTTCGTCTCAGCATTATATCTGGTACATTAAAACATATCTTGTGGAGTAAGTCAGGTACAGTTGCACGTTTTACGCTTTGGCTTACTATATTGAATATCAACAACACATCATTAAACTCTCTACGCCTCTTAAGTTCCACAATACCAAATCCATCAATTTGGGATTTATACGAGATGAGATGAGGATAATAAGGATAAAATCCATGTTTCTTAAAAAACATAAACCTCAGAAACTTTTTTTGGATTCTCTTCAGTGTGATACGTTGTAGGGTTCCATATTACACTGGTATATTCCAGTTTTGATATTACATAAGTATTCATTAAAAAGTAGTGTGTAAGTCTTTGCGTTTTTGAAGTCTGCACTCACAGGAGCGCAGTACAAAACCTAGCTTCCTCATCCCATCTGCCTACATAGTATCAATGTGTCCACCAAACGAGAAAAACTCAGAGTATTCCTAGATTAGTCTAACGCCGTATCATAAAGCTTGTATTGTGTTAGCATAGGATTCTTATTTCGAAAAATGCTTAAACATTTACATTTACTGATATTTAATTTCAGGTCATTGTTGACACAGTATGATACAATGGCATATCTCTGAATAGCATTTAGATCTCTTTGTGAGAGTTGACAGTTTGTTTCATTTTGAACTGAAGTATACATTTTTAAATCATCTGCAAAGAGTTAAAATTGTGAGTATTGAACACATCTAGATATATCATTGATAAATAGGACAAACAGATGTGGACCCAAGATACAGCGCAGCCGTGAGGGACACCAGGGCCCGAAAAAATACCCAGTTAGTGACAGTTGACTTATTTTTACAAAAACCATGTTGCTATGGAATAATTACTCCCTGCACGTGCTGACTAATTTTAGTATGTAATTGTTTTTTTTTTTTAAAGATAATTCCCCAAGTCAAAAATTTAGTAACTATGTTGGCAACACAAGCCTTTCTACATAAAAAAATTTAAAGGCATTGACAATTTCACATTGTATTGCCAACATAATGTCATTTTGACTTTTATCTTCAAAAAAAAACAGGCTTTATGATTCTCTCAAAAATCTTTGACAATGCAGGCAAAACAGTAACAGGACGGTAATTTTCAATGATACGTGTATTATTTCCATTCTTGTGAGTCGGTATTATACGACCAATCTTCAATTGGCATCCAGGAATGACCAGGAATTTGTTTACTAGAGTTTGCAGAGGGATCTGTAAAATATTCAGATAAGCTTTATAAAAATATGGTGGTATTCCATCTACGCCAGCAGATTCCCTGGGTTTTAGACTTTTCACTGCCTCTGAAACATCATCAACAGTAACAATGACAAGCGAGAAAGCCTCCAAACCATAGTCCACTAGACAATCAATATTACTATTAGGCGGCAAACCACTGTCTGAGTAGGTACATAATATCTTGAAAAAATTTAGCAAATGCATCAGCAATAGAATTTTCATCAGTATAATCTGTACCTTGATATGAATAGGAATAACTAATATCACAATTTCGGCTCTTTTCTTGATAAATTTCCAGAACAGATTAGCATCATGTGTAATATTTTGTTCAGTATTTCTTACAAATCGAGAACGACCAGCTAACAGTATTCTTCTCTATATTTTGCTTTAAATTTAGATTATTTTTTTGACATTTTGGAGAAGTGTTTCTTTTGATTTAATTTATGTTAAGTTGTTTTGTGAACCATCTTGGAAATTTTCTGTTGTTGAAATTACCTATTTCCTTCTTCGAAATGCTCTGCTTAAAAATGTTGTATAAAATCTCATTAAAAAACGTTTGCAAGTTCAGTCCAATCTTGCTCACTTGGCAGTCGGTGAAGCAAAGGATAGTCTGCACGTAAAGCACGGTAAAGCGAAGGATAGTCTGCACGAGCAAAATCATAAGTAAATGAGCAATCAGCAACATTATCAGAAACTCCATCATTCCTTGACTTCAATCTGAAAGTTATCTTTAGAACTGGACGATAGTTGTCAATGCTTAACAGCGCATTCTCAGAATCCTCCTCAACATTGGCCTCTGTTACATTTTTCAGGACCATCCAGTGTGTTGCCTAGACGATTTTTTATATTATTCAAGGAATACAGATCATACTCACTTAGTAAATGGATAATGAGTTGAGCCTTTGTTGAATCTTTAGCTAAATCATAGCATTTTCCGCTCACATCTGAAACATTAAATTAAAATCTGGCTACCAAAATTATATTCTTTATTTATTTACATTGATTGTGACAAAAATCCATTAAAAATCTATAGAGTTACTCTTAGCTACTAATTCCGGCCCATGTTTTGCTTTCACACAACATATGTCTCCTCCACCGGCTTCACCTCGACTCACATCACATTGGGGATACTTTTTATCATTTTTCAATATCATATATCTATTATCACAGATTTCAATATCGTGAAACGAGCTATTCAACCATGTTTCACTTATGCAGACAGCATCCCAGTCCTCTACAATTATGCCCCCATATATGATTGAAGTCTTTGTGCGTAGTCCCCTGACATTTTGGTAAATTAAATTAAAGCTTTTTATATTTGTTTTATTACATTCTTTTAAATCTACTTTTGGGTTTCTGAAGATCTGACGATATCCTTTTTTGTACAAAAAACCGAGAGACAATGGCATCTGCAGGCCAGATTTCCCGCCTCCATGCCTTACCAAAATTGCTTTGTCTGATTGTGACTTTCATCGAGGAGTAAAGTTCAGGCCTTTTCGATTCATATTTCTCGCATTTAACCTCGGGAAAAGCTTCTTTTAGCATATATTCCAGTTTAGCATGTGTAACATCAGGATGCAGACGCTTTACATGAAGCGAAACGCAGCCGGGTATGGCTTGCACTTTATGGGTGTAGGAGTTGCCACCCCGTATAAAGCAGCGTTTGAGTCTTCTCCTTACCTGTTGCCAGCCTGCGTCATAACATTTGATTATTTCATTATGATTATCCAGTAATCCAAGTTCATCAATTTCATTCATCTTTGTTTTGGTTATAGCTATTGATTGCTGAAGCAGACTTCACAGTATCAGCTGGAATGTTTCAGAATGTGTAGCTCGTGATACTGATGTTTGACAGTGGCATTTTTGTTGGTATCATCCAGATTTCGTGCCTTCTGACTATACACTTTATTTTTTTCCAAGATAGATTTTGACATTGTCAACTTTGAAACATAAACAATGCCGCTAATGCCACTTATTGGCCGCTATTGTAAAACTGATGTCAACCTGTAGAAACACCTCATTTTGCGACCAATCAGGGTCAAGCGTTATTGTTTATGTTTCAAAGTTTTCAATGTCAAAATCTATCTTGGGAAAAAATAAAGTGTAGAGTACTCTTGCTGTCTATCTCTACTTTCGCCCGGGGCATTCGAGGTACTAATCGACGATGATGATGACGCGTTTGGTGCACGGTGGACTCGCATTCCATGTTGCCATACCTTGTTGTTTTTCTTTTTCTTCAAAAC